GCATAGCAGGCACATATGTCCAAAACTGTTATCCAACTCTGGTAGCTAACACTTATAGCTGGAAATGTTAGCCAACAATGGTAGCAGTCTCTTATAACAAAAATTGTTAGCCAGATGCGATAGCCAGCACTTATAGCCAGACATGTATGCTAACTTTGGTAGAAAACACTTATAGCCAAAACTATTAGCTTTCTGGTAGCCAGCGCTTATAACCAGAATGGCTAGCCAAGTCTGGTAGCCAGCACTTCTAACCAAAACTGTTAGCCGATTTTGGTAGTTGGCGCTGATAACAAAAATTGTTAGCCAACTTTGGCAGCACGCTCTTTTAACCAAAACCGTTTTTGGTAGGTTCTTATAACTACAACTGTTAGCTTTTTGGTAGCCAGCACTTATCACCAGAATGGCTAGCCAAGTCTGGTAGCCAGCACTTCTAACCAAAACTGTCAGCTAATTTTGGCACCAGGATCTTTTAACCAAGACTGTTAGCTTATTTTGGTAGCAGGTTCTTATAACTAAAACTCCCAGCATTTTGGTAACCAGCACTTATAACCAGAATGGCTAGCCAAGTCTGGTAGCCAGCACTTATAATCAAAACTGTCAGCTAATTTTGGCATTCTTCTCTGACAACTAGAACTGTTAGCCAATTTTGGTAGCTGGCGCTTATAACAAAAACTGTTAGCCAACTATGGCAGCAGGCTCTTTTAACCAAAACTGTTAGCTTGTTTTGGTAGCAAGTTCTTATTACTAAAACTGTTAGTATTTTGGTAGCCAGCGCTTATAATCAGAATGGCTAGCCAAGTCTGGTAGCCAATGTTAATATTTAGCACTTATAACCAAAACATTAACCAATTTTCATAATCAGTGTTAGTTAATAATAGCATTAATAATGTTAGTTAACTTTGGTAGTCAGCTCAGCTAACCAGCACTCAGCCAGCTATGCTTTGTTAGCCAGCTATGCTAACTGTTATAGCTCTGTATTTGGCAGAGACAATGAAAATAATGCTACAAATGTCAGAAATAGACATGTAGCCTTGCCTATTTACACAGACACTTAGCTCACCATGACAGAAATCAGCAAAAAGGAAGTGTGAACACACACAAACACACACGCTTTGTCCTGTGGTGTGATTTGACATTAGCATTTCTCTTTTTGTATCTTCACTCACTGCAGTAGGCCTGCTTTGCTTCATGGCTCTACAGCCATCCTCAGTGTTATCTGAATAACCGCGTTTAAACGACGGACAGATTTAACTCTGATCAGTCCAGCAGGACAAATAATCAAACACAGCCAAACGGACAGCCCAAGGACACCAGCAGGCCGGCTATCTGAGTTTGATTTATTGGCCTGTCCGCTGGGCAGATGCTATCGGTGTGTATATGTCCTGGACTGCTGGACCCCAGACTAAATCAATGGAACCTTGTAGATTTGCAGAGTCGATTAGCTAGCCTTACACACCTGAGGTTTATTGGCCGTGGTGATCTGAATGGGAAGGTGTTTGTGTTAAGAGATGGGGATCGCTCCAGGCACCACAATAAAACCTTTCTATACTGTTTAATTAGCTCCTATGGAGTTCAATTTACTGTACTGTGGCTCCAAACACTGGTGCTTAACGGTTGTTCTAAGCATCTGATTAGACCTCTTTCTTTTTTAATAGTGTTGTAATGCTTTTGTTAAAGGCCAAGACGAGACTTTCAATGTTGTGAACCAGGGATTTACATTAGCATGACTATTAAATTGAAAATTCACCTAAATTGATTTTGCCTGAGATCTAACAAAAATAAAAATGTCTAATCCACTTGAAACTATGGTTTGGAATTGGCACTAGGCTAACCCGTCTATCGCAACAGCGTCTGGGGGGATTTCATTGCTCAACATGGCCAAGAACTGCCGACTTTGACAGGAAGGGGCTGTTAAACTGACGTGTGAAACAATAACCTCAAGCCATTGAAATGCCCGTCTGACTGCAGATAGCAGTATTAAAAGGGCAGTGTGTAAGATTTAGCTGGATCTATTAGCAGAAATGGAATATAGTATGGAAATCATGTTTTTATTAGTGTATAATCACCTGTAAATGCGAATCATTGTGCATTCATTAGCTTAGAATAACCCTCTTATATCTACATAGGGAGCAGATCCTCTTTTAACAGAGGCCGCCATATTGCACCGACATGTTTCTACTTTTATATTCCAAGAGTTTCTGAAGCCAAGAGTTTGGTTTTGCCATTGAACCACTAGGCCAAAAACTGACCATAATAGACAAACCCAACAATGGCTCTAGAGGGCGCCTTACATGTTTTTACAATGAAAAAGCAGCTTGAATTTGGTGGTGCTGTAGCACCGGCTAGAAGACACAGAAAGAGAAAGAACCCAAATTTTAACAAATTGACGATCATACTTATTATTTAGCATAAGAAAAAAGCAAGTGAGGCTGAATCCTTGTCGTCAAAGAAACGTAAACCTGGTTCTACTACACGCTTGGAAAGGGAAGCGTGAGGGAGGGGTATTCAGTCGGTTGCAATTTGCAACCTCACCACTAGATGCCACTAAATCTTACACACTGCACCTTTAAAGCATACTGTACAATATTGGTTTCATGTGACTAAACTTCATACTCAGTCTAAGGTTATCCGTTGTTTCGATGTCAGGGGTTTCCTTCCTTTCAATGAATCATTCTAATCAAAGTGCAAAATTGGTTTTGCTACACACTTGGAAAGTGAGGGGTGAGGGAGGGGTATTCATTTGATTGCAATCTGCAACCTCACCACTAAATGCTACTAAATCTTACACACTGCACCTTTAAAGAGCGTTGTTGCTATAATTTAGTGTCCACACTGGAGCTCTGGTTGTACAGTATTGGTTTTATGAGACTAAACTTCAAAGTCACTTTGTAATCTAAGGTTTTCAGCTGTTTTGGTGTGAGTGGTTTCCTCCCTTTCAATGAATTACTCTAATCAAACTGTTAGCTCATGGTTGAGACTGACAAAGTTAGCACTACTTGCCAGACACTATTCCCTTTAGGTATACGGTGTTATACAGTGGTAGACGATCTTCAAAATCTGTCTGGTGCTCTTAGAACATTCTCGGTTCAGATGAATGCGAACTAGGCTCAAAGAAGAACTGCAGCCAAATCAGCGGCAGATCTCAGGAGACTAGATTGGAGTTCAAATCTGATTTTTTGCTGGCATTTTGAACACACAGCTGATCTTTATCTCAAGGTGTGGACGTATCTAATCAGATCTTTTATATTCCAAGATTTTCGGAGGCCTAGAGTTTGGCTGTGCCATTGAACAGCCGGCCCAAAAACTGGACCGAAACTGCAGCCTTTCTTTGGTCTCAGAAGATATCGCAGACTATCGTCACAAACCCAAATATAACGCATCGTTTTTTTTTCACAATCCACAGTGGCTCAACAGCATAAAATATCTGCCTTTTCAGTGTCTCTTGTTCGACGCAGAACAAAGTGGCATGAAAAGGTGCAGCGATTGAACCGCAGAGGCCCAGACTGCTTTCAGAGGGAGTGAATGGAAAACAACAATCGCTGTCTGGCGTGTTGAAGGCAGCGTCTGCATCTGAGTGGAGAGTAAAGCGATGGCGTTTCTCTGGATTGCATCACCATCGCGGTCCTTTCAGCCTCTCTCTCTGTGATAAAGCGCTAAAGGCAGCGAGTCGCCGCTTTCATGGCCTCAACCTTACATTTAGGTCTTGATCAAAAGTGATATGATGTGGCAGCGCTAGCGGAGGTGAAACTGAACTTCTGGTGAGCCGCGTACTGGAGGTACATGAAAATGAAGCGTATGTGTTCATGAAAAGGACAGAGAACACAGTCCACCATTCAAACCTTTACCATGCCTGTTTTCAGCCCTATAGAGCCAGTGTGGTCGCAGATACATGCATACAGTTATGGTTATAAGATGCTGCTACTTAACAACTTCACAGGTTTTAGATCCTTAGTGAAAAACAAACAATCAAAGAAATAAGCAGTGTTTCCAGAATGATAAACAGAGCTGTGGAACATGCGAAAATGACCCAGAAAGCTGTAGAACATCAACAATGTTCCCAAAAATTAATATCTAGAATAATAATACAATTTTTTCCTAAAAAGACATTTCTAATAATGTTTATATCCAGAATGAGGTTCTAATAAAGTTTATATCCAGAATGAGGTCCTAATACAATTTTGATCAGAATAACGTTCTAATAAAATTAATATCCAAAATGAAGCTCTAATAAAATGTAGATCTAGAATAGTTATAATAAAATTAACAATACACAATGAAGTTTTTATAAAATGTATATCCAGAATTTAGTTTTTATAAAATTGATCTCTAGAATGAAGTTCTAAAAAAATTCATATCCAGAGTGAATTTTTTATAAAACTTATATCTAGAATGAGGTTTGAATAAAATGAATATCCAGAATGAAGTTCTAATAAAATAAATATCTAGAAGTGAGTTATAATAAAATTTATATCCAGGACAAAGTTCTAATAAAATGAATAACCAGAATGAAGTTTTAATAAAATTTATATCTAGAATGAAGTTCTAAAAAAATTCATATCCAGAGTGAATTTTTTATAAAACTTATATCTAGAACAAAGTTCTAATAAAATTTATATCTAGAATGAAATTTTTATAAAATTCATATCCCGAATAAAGTTCTAATAAAATTTATATCCAGAATGAAGTTTTTATAAAATTTATATCTAGAATGAGGTTTGAATAAAATGAATATCCAGAATGAAGTTCTAATAAAATAAATATCTAGAAGTGAGTTATAATAAAATTTATATCCAGAATGAAGTTTTTATAAAATTTATATCCAGATGTAAGTTCTATTAAAATTCATATCTAGAATAAAGTTCTAATAAAATTCATATCCAGAGTGAAATTTTTATAAAATTCATATCCAATTTTGTAACTTATTCACTAAACTAACTTTTTCATAAAAAGTTTGAAACCATATTTGAACACTGTGCACTGATTTAGGCAGTGAGCTGTACCTGTTCCCAGTTCCGTGTGCTCTACTGAGGTGTGCTGGTTCTGGTGGACCCACTCTCCGTTGCATTTGAAGAAAATCTGCAGGGCGGGTCGGGCTCGGCAGCGCAGCTTGATCGGATTGCTCTTGACGATGTAGGCGTCGTCTGGCTCCTGCAGGAAGTGGGGCAGCGTTCCGGTCAGTGCCGAGAGTCCGTCTCGATTCCCTGGAAACACAGTGGAGCAAAATCAGTAACAGGAATTTATGATGTCACAAAGATATAGCATAACGACCTTTTAGCAGCAGTAATTAGATTTTAATAGCAGCTAATTTAATTGCTTAAAGTCTTACAGCTTCATTTTATACATATATTAAATGTATAACTCACGTTATATTATTAATTTCAGAATAAACAGAATAGTTTCTATTGATTTTGGAAAAATGTATGATAGTGAAATAGTTCATAAATAATTTATAATAGTTCCTGAATAATTAATTATTGAATGTTAGAGCAGAGAATTTTTTGCATATTTACTAATAGATGCCAAATAATTGCTAGTAGTTACTAAATAATTTACAGTAGTTATTGAACAATTGTGTAATTTATAACATTTCATGAAAAATTTGTTATTGAATAACTCATAGCAGATATGAGTATAATTTACAGTAACTAAACTGAATAAATAATAAAAGTAAATGAATGAATACTGTATAATTAGTTACTGAATAATTCATAGCAGTTATTGAATCATTAATAATAATTACTAAAAAAGTTATAGCAAATCAATTATTGAAACAATAATAGTAACTGAATAATTTCAAATATTTATTAAATGATTCATTGTAGTTGCTATTAATTTATAACAGTTCCTGGATAATTAATTACTGAATATGTTAGAGCAGTATTTACATATTTACTAATAGATAACAAATAATTCCTAGTAGTTATTGATAAAATTATAGTAGTTATTAAAGAATTGCGTAATTTGTAATATTCAATGAATAACTAGTTATTGAATAACTCATAACAGCTACTACATAATTTATAGTAGTTACTGAATTGTTAATTATGGTAACTGAATAAATAATAAAAGTAAATGAATGAATACTGTATAATTAGTTATTGCATAATGCATAGTATTTATTGAATAATTTCTAATAATTACTAAAAAAGTTAAAGAAAACAGTTATTAAATAAAAATAATAGTTAGTAAATAACTAAATATTTATTAAATGATTCATCATAGCTAATATTATATAGTAGTTACTTGATAATTTATAGTAGTTATTAAAAATTAATTTGTAGTTATTGAATAATTTTGAAGTGTATTGTAATGTTGAAAAATGTATAGAAGTTACTGAATAATTCATAGTAGATAAGGATTAATCAATAGTAGTTGCTAAATAGTGTGTTGTACTTCCTGAATAATATAGGGAAACATTTGGAGATAGTTTGTAGTAGTTATTGGATATTAAATAAATTAAATAAAATGTTTATTATACAACAACACAACATAACTATGTAATAATTCAACTATAGCTATTAATTAGTATTAATCGGGTACAAATGCCTTGATAGCAACATAACATAATAACTTAATAATATAATTCAGTTCTGTTTTATTTGTACTTGTCCTAAAAGCTGCTGCTGTCCCAAAACAGTAATGACCGTAATGAAATTAACGTGCACACTTCTATCCCGGTGACTATTTGCTTCCATTACTTATTAGCGACATTAGCCTTGTAGCTCCAGTGCAAAAGTAAAGAGGTAAACATCAGACACCAAACACTTCCTCACTGATCAACTACATTTGGGATAAGGAAGAAATTATGTACACTTCAAATGTTACCAAACTTTCACTTTAATGCCATTTTGATACCAACTTGAAACCATTTCAGCTCTTCTGATCCTATGCGAGTGATATTTGCAGTGGAGATCTTCTGTAGCGGCTTTTCCAAATCTAATCACAAGTAAGCGAGTGCTGACCACAGCCGAGTGAGCAGAGCGGAGTGTGTAAAGTCTCTGACTGACACAGGTCCCCATAATCACACGCACAGCCAGCCGTTCTGACAGCGGACTGGCCGGCTTGATTAACTGAGCCGTCAGTCAGCGGCCTGCTTAACTGACCCGTCAATCAGCCTCAAATTCTGCTCTGATTCTTAGATGCTTTCTGGCAAGTAAAAGGAAAAGAGGGGGGTCACAACCACTCAAAACAAAAAACAGCTTGGCCAGAAAACCTTGACTGAAAAGCTAACACGGGTATTAAGAAGGGAAAGCCAATAGTTCCCAATTAGCCAGGAAGTAATTTGCATAATTTTAATTGGGTTCTGCTAGACTTCGCTTCTTATTAGCGCTGTTGTCATGGAAATTTGGTCACCTTCAATCCAGCGGGATAAGAGGTGGAATTATAGCACCATGGCCAGCGAGCTGCCTGCTCTGTAGTGCTTTCAGGACCATGGACAGCTCCACTTATTCAATTTACCAACATTCGCTGAAAGAAAATGAACACTTTGCACTTGATCCAAACTCCCATTCCCTCCAATTCAGCTCTGTAGGAAAGGAAATTGATCTTAATATTTTATAATGTAACATCAAAGTAATACTGGACCATTTCTATGTACAACAAAGTTTCGCTCTTCTTCTTATCATTATTCCACTCTTTATTCAAAAGTAACGTGAATAGAAATTAATTCGAAGTTGCTTGACAAAGCAATTGCTATCCAAGGTGGTTGCTAAGGTATTGCTAGACCACTGTTATGGGATCCCAGGTGGTCACTAAGGTGTCACTAGGCCACTGTTATGGGATCCCAGGTGGTCACTAAGGTGTCACTAGGCCACTGCTATGGTATCCAAGGTGGTTGCTAAGGTGTTGCTAGGCCACTGCTATGGTATCCCAGGTGGTCACTAAGGTGTCACTAGGCCACTGTTATGGTATCCTAGGTGGTTGCTAAGGTGTCGCTAGGCCACAGCTATGGTATCCCAGGTGGTCACTAAGGTGTTGCTAGACCATTGCTATGATTTTCCAAGTGGTCGCTAAGGTGTTATTAGGACATTGCTATGATATCCCCGGTGGTTGCTAAGATGTTGCTAGGCAATTGCTATGCCATTCTAGGTGGTTGCAAAGGTGTTGTTAAGCAATTGCTATGGTATCCCAGGTGGTTACGAAGGTGTTGCTAGGACATTGCCTAGATACCCCTGGTGGTTGCTAAGCTGTCATTAGGACATTGCTGGATATCCCCGGTGGTTGCTAAGGTGTTGCTAGGCAATTGCTATGCCATTCTAAGTGGTTGCTAAGGTGTTGCCAGGACATTGTTATGATATCCCTGGTGGTTGCTATGGTGTCATTAAGCTGTCGCTTTGATATCTCAGGTGGTTGCTTAAGGTTCGCTAAGCCATTGCTTTAATGTCCCTGGTGGTTGCTAAGGTGCAAAATGGCCAAAAATACAACTGTACAATTTTACAAAAAGGACAAGCTGTTCATTTTTCAGGGTTAGCAAAATAAGTGGAACATATATTGATCATAAAATGATACAGAAGCCTCAACAACTAAATATAAGATCACATCTCACAGTATATAATGTGCCCACTCTTAGTACAGCTTCCATCCTTTTCAGGAGACTTGCATTGAGAGCATTCATTTACAGTGGGCATTGAGTGGATTCATTTAGAATGGCTACTAATTGGTTGGATTCGTTTAGAATGGGCATTGCTTGCATTCGGTTAGAGTGGACACTGGTTGCATTTAGTTAAAGTGGACGTTAGGTTGCATTCATTTAGAGTGGCCATTGAATGAAAACCATACCATGTTTGGTGAGTCTTAACTCAGCCTCACTCTCTTTTGACCTCGTTTTTGTCTTGGCCTCACTCTCTTTTGGACTTGGTCTTGACCCAGTCTCACTCTCATTTGGTCCCAGTATTGGACCTGGTCTTGTATCTGATCTCATTCTCATTTGAACTCGGTCTCAATCTCATTTGGATTTAGTCTTAACTTGATCTCACTCTCATTTGGGCTCAGTCTCTTGGTGTTATTTGGATTCAGTCTTGCCTCACTCTTGCTCTCAATTGGACTCAGTCCTGACTTGTTCTTGCTCTTATTTGGACTGAGACTTGACTCACTTTCATTTGACCTCAGTTTAGTCTTGGACTCACTCTCATTTAGACTTGGTCTTGACTCAGTCTCACTCTCATTTGGTCCCAGTATTGACTCTGCCTCGATCTCATTTGGACCTGGCCTTGTATCTGATCTCACTCTCATTTGGACTCAGTCTTAATTTAGTCTTGCTCTAATTTGGACTCAGTCTTGAATCTGTCCCTCTCATTTGGCCTTGTTCTTGACTTGGTCTCGCTCTCATTTGGACTCAGCCTTGACTCTGATCTCACTCTCATTTGGGCTCGATTTAGACTTGGTCTCGCTCTCATTTGGACTCAGCATTGACTCTGATCTCACTCTCATTTGGGCTCGATTTAGACTTGGTCTCACTTATATTTGGACTAGGTCTTGACTAGGTCTCACTCTCATTTGGACTCAGTCTTGACTCGATCTTGATCTCATTTGGGCTTAGTCTTAACTTGATCTTGCTCTCATTTGGACACGGTATTAACTCATTCCCACTCTCAGCTGGACTCAATCTTCACTTGTTCTTGCTCTTATTTGGACTCAGTCTTGACTCTGCCTCACTCTTATTTGACCTCGGTTTTGTCTTGGCCTCGATCTTATTTGGATTTGGTCTTGACTCTGATTTCACTCTCATTTGGTCTCAGTTTATACTTGTTTCCACTTATATTTGGACTATGTCTTGACTAGGTCTCACTCTTATTTGGACTCGGTTTTGTCTTCGTCCCTCTTATTCGGCCTTGCCTCAGTCTCATTCTTATTTGGATTTGATCTTGACTCATTTTCGCTCTCATTTGGACTCGGTCCTGACTCTGCCTCACTCTCATTTGGACTCTGTCTTTACTCAGTCTTGGTCTTATTTGACTTGGTCTCTGCCCCCCTTTAGACTCAGTCTTGCCTCAGTCTCGATTAGTCAAGGTTGGACTCATCTTAGGACTCAACAAAGGTGGTGTTGACTCCCGCCTCAGTTTCAAGACATCTCGTTACATTAACATACATGCAAGTTGTCATTTTTTTCCTGCTTCTCTGAGTCACCAATGCGGAGAATCAAAGTTTGTTCCAACTGCGGAGGCCTTACAGGGGTTTAGTGACGTCCCTGCTGTAACACCCC